TAATTGTTATGGGTTGAATTGTGTTACCCTCAAAAGATATATTATAAGTCCTAATCCCTGGTACCTATGTCTGTGAGCTCTTTTGGAAATAGGACGTTTACAGATGTAATCAAGTTGAGATGAGGTCATCTTGGACTAGGGTAAGCATGAAATCCACTGACTCGGTATCTTTATAAGAGAAAGGAAAGGGAAGTTTGGATGCAGACACATAGAGAAGAATGTGAAGAACCTGATGTGAAGACGGAGGAAAGACTGGAGTGATGGTGGCTCCAACCCAGGATCCCAGGGGGCCACCAGGCATGAGGAAGTGGCTGTGGGTTCTTCCTGAGCCTCTGGAGGAAGAACAGCCCTGCCCACTCCCGGGTTTCAGATGCTGCCACAGTCTGCAAGAGGCTAGGTTTCTGTGTGTTTTTTAAAGCCACTCTGTCTGTGGTATTTTGCTATGGCAGTCTTAGGACACTAATGTGCTAATGTATACACAACAACACAGATTTCAACCTGATTTTTAAAAATCGAGGGAACTAGCATACTAGAAAGAACAGGTAACTCTCTAGGAAATTAACTAGTTCAGAGTCATCCTGGATGATTTTTTTCTAATGTGTGTCTGGATATTTCTTGGGGGAGAGAAAATCATATATCTAAGGAACAAAGAAAAACATTAATATTTTTGATGAACCAAACATGTACTGATTTGCTAACTTCAAAATACTCATCAGTGTATTTACTTAGCCCCAAGGAACAAGGCTAAAGCAAATTAAATGTCACATAGAAAATCACTTTATTGAAGCAATATGGTTTTCAAGGACATAAAGGACATTCTTTTACTTCAAAAGAAAATGAACTTTTAAATTTCATCAAAAGACCCAAAGGTTTGACTGCTAACTTAAACTGCTGAAAGAAAGTATTTTTTCAGTTTCAGTAGCATTAAAGTCTTATACCATTTTAATAATTTATGTTTAAATTGACAAGTAAAATGGTATATTTATGGTTATGGTATACAATAGGATCTCTTGAGCTATGTGTACCTTGTGGAATGGCTAAGTCAAACTGTTTAACATATGTGTTACCTCACATACTTTTTTCCTGTAAGAATACTTAAAATCTAATCTTTTGGCAATTTTCAAGTATATAAAGTATTGTTAACTGTAGTCACCACGATGTAAATAGGGTCTCTTGGACTTACACCTCCTGACTGCCTGAAATGTTGTGTGCTTTGACCAACATTTCCCCAATCCCCCATCCTCCAGCCTCTGGTGACCACGATTTTGCTGCTATGACAAGACAGACAATAGAAATGGGACAAGTTCTAGAAAGAGGTGAGGAGAAAGTAAGGTGCTCAGTGAAAAGGTCAACCCAGGAAACCACGAAAAACTTCCAAGAGAAACCAACATCAAACAAGCCCTTTGGATTTCCCAGATGAAAAGGAAGGATAGAAAGGGGGTGGGGAGGACCTGCAAATAAGTGGCATATCCAGGGCTGCCGTAAAGCATCAGGTGGCCAAGACCCAGGCTGAGAGAAGAAGTGAGAAAGCTGCAGGGAAGCCAAAGAACTTAGATGTGTGACACAGGTGGGAAGGAGCCAGCTGCACATGGCTTTTTCTTTTTCCCCCAAATGGACCAAAGAGTCACTGGCTTGCTTTAAATTAGTTTTTTCAACTTTTAAGCTTTTACAAGCGTAATCTACCAGGTGAGGGTGGTAGGGTGGAAACTCAAATGTGAGGCTCTACTTTGGACCAGAGTAGGCTCGTCAAGGCTTGCAGACTTTTGGAATTTTTATCTCTATTTCCCCCTGTATTCTTCTGTTTAACCTTGGCTGTCACCATCAGACAGACATAGCGTGAGGACTCTTCCTGCATCTGTGGAGGAACCCGCAGCAGACAGGAACTGCTCAGGTGTATGAAACAGATGCAGAAGCACACATTTCAAATGGGGAGTTCTAGGAGACACAGCTCATACAAGGAAGGTGCCAGTTCTGAGGCATGAGACGTGGAGGCCCTGAACCAAGGACCCGTCAGGAAGAAGGGGCACAATGGCCGGATTCCAGAGTGGCTTCTGGAATCCAGTCACGAGCATCTGGTAATGAGTGGGAGGGAAGGGAAGAATCAGGGATGACATAGTGGCTTCTGGTGAGGGGACCTGAGCCATGAAGGTATGCAGTGCAGGAAGATGACAGAGTTGGGCAGGCAGGGTGGCAGCAGTGATGGAGGAAGGGAGTAAAATGTGAAGTTGAAGAGAACTGCACGATCAGAGGAAAATCTGCAGTGATGACAACACTGTCTGGTGACCTTCTTACTATATGTGATATACTTTTGCATCCAGTATCTTGGTTGACAGGACAACCCAGCAATGAGAGCATTTCAGAAATAAGGAAACGGGGCTCTGTAGTTAAAGGAATTTGTCACAGAACACACAGCTAGAGGCTACTTAGAAAGAACTGGAGAAGAAGCATCTGCCTTCTAACCAGGCTAGGGATCATGCAAAAGTTACCCCCCACTACAGATCGATTAAGGCCAATTTCTAGTTGTCACTGCTGACTAAGGGCTTTGCTGCCTCAGTTTTATGCAATCAGTGCTGAGTCCAGAATCACCAGGCTCAGACTGACAACAGGGTAATGGCAACACCCGGAAGAAAAGGCAATTTAGAACTCATAAGAATCACATAGTTGGAAGAATATCCTAGAGCCTTAAGAAGTGAAAGGTGGCCGGGCGCAGTGGCTCACACCTATAATCCCAGCACTTTGGGGGCCGAAGTAAGAGGATTGACTGAGCCCAGGGGTTCGAGACCAGCCTGGGCAACTTGGTGAGACCTCATCTCTACAATAAATTAAAAACTTAGCCGGTTGTGGTGGCACGTGCTTGTAGTTCCAGCTATTTGGAAGGCTGAGGTGGAAGGATCACCTGAGCTGAGCAGGTGGAGGCTGCAGTGGCCATGAGTGTGCCACTGCATTCCAGCCTCGGCAACAGAGTGAGACTCACAACTCAAAAACAAAACAAACAAACAAACAAACAAAAAAACTGTAAGGTTTTTCGGTTCATCAGATGGAAGAAACCCCATGATAGTTTCTCTAAGAAATGTCCATAAATGTATTATATTTTTAAATGGTTCTGTGATCTAATTGTTTTGGGAAATCCTGGAAAACAGATCGCTTCATTGTGCAATTTTACAAAACAGTTCCCTGAAAATTTCAAGGGGTATAATTAAGGATGCAGTGTTCCTCCCAAATATTGGACCACTGAGTATGCCCCACACACTTAAAGAGTATCTCATGAGACTAGCTACTCATACAGTATACCTTGAAAATACTGTTTGATGAAATATTTAAGTAAACAACATGCCAACAAATACAAGTTAAAAATAAGTACAAAAAGTACATTAATGTTGAGGTAATGTAGAATAAAAGAGTCAACAGAGTCTGTGGATTAATTAGGCAGAGTTTCCTGCCCAATATCCTGCAAATGTTGCAATGTAACTTAGGCAGTAATTCAAACAAGGGCTATACATGCTTAGGTCAGTAGAAATCTTAAATTGCTAGATGATGCACTTACAAAAATTCTCTTACCACAAGTTACAATTTTAGAAATTGTAATGGCCTAAACTTGGTGGGAGTAAATAGTTAATTTCTCTTATATTACTGAGATGATGGGGTTTTATAGCCTTCTGAACCTTTATCAAAGCTTCTTGTTCTTATTTATAAATTAATAACTGCTTTGAGGTTTTATATGGTCTTTGAGTCTTTCAGAATTTCATTACAGGCCCAGGTAAAAATCTCATTATTAGAGAAATCATTACAAAGAAGAATGCTATATGACAAAACTGTTTGTAAATGTCCCATTATGACTATAGCTAGTCATAAATAGTTCTTTGTAAATAATTATCTTATACACCAAATGCTTCTTTTCTTGATTATTCTCTTAAGCTGATCATCCTATATTACCAAAGACTTTAAATGGTATGCCATTTACAGTCTGGAACAGATAGTTAAGAGCTTTGTAATTCTGCCTAATGACTAAAAATACCTTTTGACTCTCTTAGTCCTTACCCAATTTAAACATCCCTACTTGAGAAATCTAAGGGAAGTCCAGGTAACTCCCAAGCAATGCAAAGAGACCTGAGAAAATGGAAGGAAAATGGAGGGATGAGCACTCCTCCAGTGTACTAAAATTCACAGGCCTTCTACTCATTCATGGATTCATTACAGAGAGCCCATTTCATCAACTGCTCGTGCAAACTATATGTATTATTTCTCGTAATACATTCTCCAAAACAGAATCAGGATAGTGAGCAGAATTTTCCTTTGCCGAAACATTCATTTAAAAGTAAAAGAGATAAGAATGGTATAATGATATGTCTTGACATGTCTTTGTGGGGCTAGTTCATTAAAGGTAAATAGAGTATCACTTTGAGCTAGACTATTCAATTATAATTAATATAGAGTAAAGGCTCCCTTTCCCTTAATTTCTGTGCATAATAGGAAAAGAAAAAAAGAGACAAAAACCCCTTCCTTTCAGTCAGTTCTTCTTAATATTTTGAGCTGTAATTACATGGGGAATTTTTACTGGGATTATGCACATTCACTGTTTCTAAAGTAATGATGAACAGTTTAACAGAGACAGTTGCAAACTTGAGCTATGAAAATTAGGTAAATTAAGCTCCCTCATTACTTTGGTCTTATCCTCACACTGGGTTGCTTATCTGAGTGCCTGAATTTGCTGAGGTCCCCAAATGGAGACTGGGAGGCATAAATCCAAGGTTGTTTTCAAAGAATCAGTCGTGTAAACAAAAAATAAGGGCACAAGATACAAATATCTGACCACTGCTTTAAAATCCACTATTAAAACTGGAGAAAACATGCCACTGTCTTACAGATTGATTTACATTTGCTTCTTAACTGGAAAAAGATGGATACACACTATTGTGCATGGGTGCTCACATAATTGACAAATGAAATAGTGAAAAAAACTGATTACACTTGAATATTTTAGAAATAGTAAGTTTTCTTACCTTCAAAAGTTCAAAGTAATGCAGACAGTGGTAAACAGGGGCTAGAAGTAGTCTGGGTAAAACATATTGGACAGCTTCTTTGAAACCTTCGCCTATTGACTAGAAAAGAAAGTGATTTAATTTTTTTTGTTTACTTTTCTGACATCATACGTCTTAATTTAAAAATTACTGTACCTGCAAATAAAGCGCAGCCCCAGGCTTTGATAACTGACTAAGGAAACGATCATGAAAACCCGGTCGTAAAATATCTCGAGCATACGATTCATATGGATCAAATGCCAGTTCCTTAGAAAATAAAGAAGGTAAAACATAAATAATCTACTACTATAGACACAGAAAAATTACGGGCATGCCTACACCAGCACAATTACATTTTTCTTTTAGCGTCTCTAAACAACAAAAATCTACAACTATTAATTATAATTTTAATGGAATAAATCCCAATATTCTTAAGAGAACAAATGAGTTCTTTCTGATGAGTAATAGGATCCTTATATGTTATAACACTTCTCATTAAAGGATTCTATAGAGTATTATCAACAAACATGGACATAAAGAATGAGAAGACTTTTGGTTCTGGAAAATAAATGAACAGAGTTTAACTTGAACAACAAGAATATAGACATCAACAGCTAGGTAGGGTGTAAATGTAGAAGACTGCAGCCAGATAATTATTTTCTAATAGTTTTTTCTTGGCGATGGACATTTACTGTCATATGTAGACCAGAGGTAACAGTTTATATCATCTTAAATTCCTTTATACAGGCTCACAAAACAATTAAATGATTTAATCCAAACTGCTCCAAAATTTTACCATCATCATTAATATCACCAATCATTAATAAATTAAATTCTAATGGCTCAGTCTGAAAGAGTAAAATCTCCTGGTTTCGGTAATTCCTAAGGAAAATGAGAACAGGTATCTTGATTTTAGCAGAAAGAACAAGGTCACTACTCTTGTCATCCTGTGTTCTGTCCCAGTATAAACTGTTACGAAAACGGTGCTCTAGAGTCTAGCAAGAGCTCATTTCCATAAAGGGTAATTCTAGAAAGAGGAAGAGGACATCTAGTGGCTCAGCATAGTAGAAGTTGGCAGGAGGGAATGGGAGAACCACTCACCGATGGCTAGGTATCAATCACACTAATGTGGTTCAGATTGCTTAAGGAAAGTCTGAATAGTAACAGCACCAGATCAGGAGTCAGAAGAGCCGAGTTCTGGTTGTTGTGCAGTGCAAAATAGCATACAATGTTCCAAGCCCTCCTGGATTCTTTGAACCGGATCCTAACTCATTTCCCAACTTTGACTTCTTCAACGGTCTTCTCGACTAAAAATTTCTATTGTAACACCAGAAATTGCAGTCCACTGTATGTTTTACAGAAATGGATAGTAAGGGTTCGGTAACAACAAAAGGAAGAAGTCAGGTATGAATGGAGTGGATGGGAAACAAGACTAAATCTCTGATGAGATGCTCACATCTTGGGTCTCTCTGAACTACTAGAAATTATCATATGCAGCAGACATGCTTGCCTTCCTCCCTTTTCAATAATAATTTATTGCAGAATTTTCATGACAGCTATGGGTGAAAAAAAGCCTTTATAGATATAAAAGTTTAAAAGCACAGGCTTAGGAGTCATGGAGGCCCAGGTTCCAATTCTGACTCACTAATTATCTGTGTGACATCAACAAACTGCTTACTCTCTCAAAGCCTGTTTTCTCATTGGAAAATGTAGATAATACTTACTTCACAGGGTTAAGAAATCAAATGAGATACCCTACATAAACTGTGTCTGGAACAGAGTAGACACTGAATAGATGGTAGTTAGTGTTATTCTAAAATAACTAATCTCGAGAGAAAACAAATGGACAATTAAGTGGGAATTCAAACTCTTTTCACATAATTTTGTTCTTGAGGATAAATTTGTAAAATGACAAGCATTTTAAGAATGCAGGTACTAATTAATAATTTTAGGTTAGGTTCACTGTTAAAATGTAACAGAATTCATAGAAAAATATACAATTTGTCAATACACATGATTGACAAAGTGTAGCAACCTAACCTAACTATACCCACCATCTAAAACGTGAGAAAGTTCAGCATTTTATAATACTTGCCTTAGTTTTTTAAAAAAATAAACAAAACAATATAGATATAATTGATCCCTCTCTCACAAGCTCATCTATCCCTGCTGATCCCCAAGGGAAGTCACTACCCTGAGTCTGAATCTTATTCCCATTGTATTTTTTAATATAATAATTATATACGTATGACGACACAAGACAATGCATTGTTTTGCCTGCTTTCAAATTTCACATAAGTATCATAATGTATATATTCTTTTGTTGTTTTTTGTTTGAGTCAGAGTCTCACTGTGTCGCCCAGGGTGAAGTGCAGTGAAAGGATCATGGCCACTGCACCCTCAATCTCCTGGGCTCAGGTGATTCTTCTGACTCAGCCTTCCAAGTAGCTGGGACTATAGGGGCACGCCACCACACCTGGCTAATTTTTTATTTGTTGTAGAGATGAGGTCTTGCCAAGTTGCTCAGGCTGGTCTTGAACCTCTGGGCTCAGGCAGTTCTCTTGCCTCCACCTCCCAAAGTGCTGGGATTACAGGCGTGAGCCATCATGCCTGACCGATACAACATATATGTTCTTCTGCAAGTTGCTTTTTATACTCAGAGTTGTTTTCAAGATTTATCCATTTTGATTCATGTGTTGTTTTCTGTTTATTTTAAACTCTGCATAATATTCTACTGTCTGACTATACCACTTTTCTTTATTCTCCAATGATTGGCAACTGTTTCATGTTTCTCACAATTATAAACAATTCTGATTAACACTTAGTATACAGGCACCTTGTTTTATTGTGTTTTGGATATACTGTGTGGTTTTTTTTAAAACAAAATTGAAGACTTGTGGCAACCTTATCTCCAGCAAGTCTGTTGGCCCCATTTTTCCAACAGCATGTGCTCACATTTGGTAATTCTTGCAATATTTCAAACTTCATTATTATTATTTAAACATCACTCACTCACCATTCTGAAAGTACTAGGGTCATTAAGAATTATGCTAAATCTAG